GCCTTCCTAAGCTAAATTTGCGATTATTATTATTGTTCAATCATTTGTGTTCTACATAAAGTTCATTCAATGTTCATTTATGATTTATAATGTAACTGTCATATACAAGGGATCATCTATGGTATATGTCTCTTAAGATGGTTATTGTCGCAGTTATCTTATCTTATCGAATGTTGATTGTTTTTTTGTTGCATTTAAGATCCTGAGTTCCCGTTTAAATTACAAATTTAATTTCCTGATTCAATTTCTGCTATAAGCAAAATTTATTAAATCATATTAGGCTATCTTTTACCATTTTAAGAAATGTTTAACCTAGTATATTTCATTGCGTTTTCTTTCTCCCATTTCAATCTTACTAACTTTTTGATCAATATGTCCACACTCAATTATCGCAAATGACAAGAGAGAGGAAGGATGATTGGAGAGCATTAGATAATGGGCTTTCGCCTCATGAATGATACTAGCAAAGCGGAGGCCTCATCATTTGGCTCAATAAATGTTGTACGCTCTTTGGAGAGATGGGATGGTTGGTACAACAATTCGTCAAAAAACATCTATTTGGATGAGGAACTGATATGTATTCTAAGTCTCACGTCCTAATTTCTCCATAGGAATCATTCATGGTTGAGAGAAGGATAGTGTTTGAAAAAAAAGGCAACCAAAGATCTAAAACCCACAAAAGTCATGGCTCCATGAGCTTCATTTTAATATTTTATGATTAAAATTTTTTATGGGTTATTCGGGTCACAATAGGGTTGGTTTCATGATTAATTGGAATTGTTCAAAAATAAGTTGTAAATTAGCAATTGAAAAATTAGTTGGCTTCAATTTAAAACTTAAAAGTCTATCCGGATATCTGGTTTAAACTTAAAATTCTGAAAACAAGAATATTCATAATAAATCTTGCTGCCAGAATTCATAGACTAAAATTTAAATCAATAGTCTAATGCGCCAAGACAATACTTCATCATTTAAAGCCAGACAAAAAAAAAAAAAATCTCTAGGAGTACTTGACACCAAATTCGACATCAGGATGACTTAAAAATCTTTACACCCATGCCAATTTCTTCATGAGCGGCTTGCCTCTGTGTTAATTAATATAATGTCTTGAGATATTTTGGCAATTTAGTGTATATTTCATGAAGAATAATCTTAATATTTATTTAAATTTGTCTGCAAATCAAAAGTCACATTATTCATGCTATTTAAATATAATGTAGAAATTGTCGACACTATATTACAATTTGTTATTCTCTATGATTAATAAAAATGGTGATTAGAATATATTAACCAATATTTTTCAACCTGTCAATTTAACTAATTCAAATTAATTAATCTAAACTTATCGCAAATCCATAAAGCATGCATGTAGAGATTAGATATATTGCTTATTTGTTCAAAGAAAGACCAATTGACACCAATAAAAAGGTGCACTAAAAATAAGGGCAAATGAAATCCTTAAAAACAAAGGACAGAACCACCAAAAACATAAGCCATTTAGAAGACTAATACAATACAGCAAAGGATTTCTTTCCGAATATTATATCTTGCTGCTAGGTTGAAATAGGTCTTGCACCCACGTAATTCAATTTGCTTCAACAACCAATCTTCTCCCTCACAAATATCTTGGTGAAATCCAACCACCAACTGTTGCATTGCGATATAAGCAATGTCTCATATAATGCAACTTTACATATTTTCTTACATTTCATACCAAAGTAAGTCAGAAAAGTAGGCAGCATCCCTGCACAAATTTGATTTGCCAGGAAAAGAGCAACGTCAAAAAGCAAGAAAATCAAATGAAAAAACTTGATTAGAAAGCGGAAGAATTCGAATTAGAGCGCTTTAAAGAACAAAAATAGGTATTTTGCTCTGCTCATTAGAGTGCAGAATACCATCTCTACACGCTAATCCTAGCTCTGCAGCAAACTGAAAGTTCAGCTTCTAGACAGATCCCATTTCTAATGGAAATTTACTACTGTCTGTGAGAATCAAGCTTCCGGAGATAGAAGTAGCATAAGAAAATTGCCCTCCGCACACATCTTTCCCTAATTGGTTCGGAAGACCACTGCCGTTGGACTAGAATTCTTGCAGGTTTTCTGCAAAACAAACACATTTCCCAGTTCGCGACCAAGGTGACCCAACCATAAATATGGCTCTCTCCCTTAGGCATCCACCCAGAGAAGAACGTGAGAAGCCAAGCTATTTACATGGTGTATTCCCGTACTCCCACCATGAACACCTTTCTCCTCCAACCTCTCCAAATTTGGGAATTCACCTCAGAACAAAAATCCTTCCCTAACTCAACCTAAACTGCGTATGTACCTTCAACATCAGTCTTTCCTTATAATATGTTTAAAAGGTAGTTTGAAGGATTCCAGGGCGATGAACTCGCCGCTCAAAGAGAACCCACTTGGGAGAACTCGCCTCACACTCAACAAGGAACTCACCTATAGTGATCAATAGTGATTTGCTCGGCCCCTACCAAAAGAGCTCTCCCTATACGGAGGCGAATCAGGATCCTCACCAAAGCTAGCAAACCCGATACTCATCACGTGCCTTGACCCACTTACATCAGTCTTTCGTCGCATCGTATCTCAAAGCTAGCCTCATGCGCTTGCTACCATCTAGAGCAACCAACCTCACCAAACCTTCGGCTCCATCGAATGTGACTACTCATGGACCATCAGACCTAACTTGTCAAGACCATCAAACGAGGAGCTTTCCATTCCCAACGACAACACTCACTTGCCTCCTCTCATTCAGGTCACTAGGACTCCACACTAACATCACTAGCGACATCACCAAGCTCACAACCGCTGGTCTTCTTCATCTTAGCAATCGCCCAAGACACAACTCGCCTTCATTCAACTTAACTTACTAAACTTGCTCCAAAGTACTCGCCAAGGCTTCAACCTCATTCTTCCTTCAACCATTTAGTGTGCTGTCTAGAAAAGCGAGTAGCATTGTCCGAGAGTTCTATATACGCGTTTATACTTTTTATCAATTTTCTAACATCTTAGCGATCTCTAGAACCCTTAATAGAGAAGTGATGGAATAGTTTGAAGGATCGTTTTGACCTTTTACTGATTCTAGAACATTTTGTCAATTGAGTCTATAATTTTCATGAGCCAATTCTATAAACTTTTCCTCTAGTTTCTCAACTCTCTCCATCTCTCATAGTTTCTAGCTCGCCAAATCCGTAGGTTCAACCTGTGTAGTAAAATCGTTAGTATTTTCACAACCAAATTTTTATCCCATAAACCTATTACAAAAACTTCATAACTTCTAAAAGGAAAGAAATTGATTAGTCATGTAACCTGACGGGCTCTAGTAGCCAATAATATGTCGCCGAGGTGCTCTTATTCCTTTACCGTGCGGCCGACAACCCACTCGGAACGGACCCGCGGAGTTTGCTCGAAAATGGGCATCTTCAATTTCCTCACCTTGGAATCTCCCAGGTATCCTCGATAGCCTCCCATTCCCCTCAGAGGAGGCGTTCCCCAATTGTTCTGATCGTTCCTCCGACGAATATACTCTAACCCCTCTTCATACTCACCTCTCCTCCCTTCAACATCATCACCTCGACGCTGAATCCCTTCAAATTCTGCACCTCGACGATGACGTTCCTCCCTTCTTCCTTCAAAATTCCCCCCTCGACGCTGAATTCTTTCGAATTCAGCACCTCGACGATGAGATCCCTCTCTCCTCCCACCAAAATCATCCCCCCTTCTGTCATATCCCATACTCATCTCTTCCGTCGAAAGGGGCTCTAGCGGAGGCATGTCGTTCTCTTCCTCTAGAATCTCCACCTCCGAATTTCTCCTCCCCTGCAAGGGGTTCGGATTTCCTCCCATGCCATGGCCGTCGGCGGTCTCTCTTACTTTCGATGTCTCCATATTGGTTTTCATCTCAAGTAGTTTCTTCAACATTTCCTCCATTGCGGTGAACTTCCCCTCCAACCTTTCATTGTTTGAGGTGATTTGATTTTGAAGGTTGAAGAATCTTTACTCCAAATCGGCTTTCAATTGACCGACTTCGTCTTCCAAGATGTCAACCTTCTTTCCGGCCATCGTTCTTTTCAAGATTCACGAAGATCTTTTTCCGGAAACGAAACTCCCGCTGAAATTTCAGGATTTCAGCCGCCAACGGTCCCAAAAACGATGCTTTGATACCAATTTGATAGGAAATACTTGGTTTCAAGTAGTTCCTAGCAAAAACTGAAGTAGAACAAGCAGAAAACTGCTGTTTACAACAGTGGACAGCAGTTTTTCTCAAGAAAACAGTGAGAAATCGCAGGAAAACTGAGAGAAAAGTCACATAAAAGCTTGTATTTCACTAGAAGAAGAAGAAAACAGCAAAGATACAATTGATCCTCAATTCGAGAGGATGATCGATCTCTCCCAAATCTCTAGACGCCGCTAAAGCCCAAAGAAAATCTAAATATAAGAGATCTCAAATTTCTACCAAATTCAAGATGCACCAAACCCTAGAAAAATCAACTACTTAATGCATACAATTCAGAAGGAATTCCCTAAACCGTCCCTGCAATCAATTTCCCTCTTAAACTCCCTCAAATTTCCTTCCCGAAACCGTCCCGCAAGGCGCGCGTCTCCCGCGGCTTCCGCCCAGGTGGAAGTTTTCTCCGCTATTTTTGCGATTTCGCCCGTGAACCGGTCCCGCCTGGACCGGTCCAGTGGACCGGTCTAACATAACTCTCTAAAGGAAAGCCTATATATAGACAAGCTATCTCAAAAAACAACAAGATCACTTGATTACTAAATTACCCCTAGGACAAAAAATAGAAGAGAGTAAACCCCACAATAACTAATTAATTCTAAAAGGGCATTTCATAATAATGGCAATTACAACTATGTCAGGAGCAGATTGGGTGGATTTTTGTTTAAAAATAAAGACCAAGTGATGATCTAAGACAAATAAGAGAGGACAACAACTTGATAATTTTCAATAAGAAATAAGCAGCCAAGGATGCAGAGAACCTGAGTTGAAAGAACGCCGCTGATTTGACTGGCAATTCCCTGGGCCGCTCGCCAGAGAGAATATTCGATATAGTCAGCACTGACACTGTTCGGGTATCCCTCCGGCAGCATCAATCTAAAGAAGAGATCTTGGCATCGCTGCCAAAAGATATCAACGCCAACTCCTGGACCTAGCAAGCTAAAAGAGGTGTTTAAGCCTCGCTCTCGGCCCTCTACAACAAAGGAATCGCACGATGAATCGGGTGACAGCCTCGTCCACTTGCCGCCTTTTACCTCGCACACAGTCGCGCCGTTGCAAGGAGTCATCGTAGCTGAGGCAAAGGCTACAGCTGTGGGGAGCGCATGATAGGCGCACCACAAGAAGGCAAGGAGCGTTGCAGAAACTCTGATGCATTGATTCTTCAAATCATCCGGTTGAAACGGGTAAGGGTTCTCATTCCACCACCACCACCAAGACCTAGGGTTGTTCTTGTTCCCATTTCGATTCCCGCCGTTCCCGGAGATGCTACATCCAGCGTTGTCGAGTATGCCGATCTCCACGAGTGGGGAAGGCGACGAGCATGTGTGAAGACTGGAGTAAATGGACGGCGGAGGGTTTTGGGTTGTGGAGATTAGAGATTGATAAGGCATGCAGCAAGTTAAGTTGAAGGAATAGAAAGATCCCGAGCATTTTGACTGAAGTCGAAGATAAGAAGACTGCGGCAGAAGCGGCACCTTATGATACTGTCCAATAATCATGCCCCAGGACCCACAAGCAACAACGGGGGACTGTTTGGATGGAGGATTTAGGCTGGATTTGAGGCGGAATTGAGCTAAATCCGGCCAATCGGCCAAAAATGCAAAACGAAAACTCACGGTAAATGTAAGCCGCCGTTGAAGGAAAATTCCCAGATATACGAAATCCTTCGGTTCGGCGGATTTAACGCATTCATGGCGCGAGGGAAAATGAATCCCATCGGATTAAGGGGATTTGGCCGAAGAAGCGTGCGAAAGGGAGACTGCTTATCTTCGCAACGAGCGAGTTCCCTCCCGTCTCTTCGTTACTTCCGATCCAACTGAAGAACCGCGACCTGTCGTGACTTCCGACCCCACAGTCGTCGAAGAAGGCGGAGAAGTTTTTACTCGTTCAAAACTTTTGAAGAAAATTGAGTTTCAGAAATAATCTTCTTTCAGAAATAATGTTCTTGAAAAAGTTTATTTTAAAGGGTTTGTGAAGAAAGTGGAGTTTCAGAATAGATAAATAGTGTTTGGTATAATTAACAATTTTAAATAATTGAGTTATTATAAAATATTGTTTGGTTAAATAATTTTTTATGTGCTTATTCAAACTTCAAAATAGATAAATGGTGTTTGGTACAATTAACAATTTTAACGTTCTCATTATAAATGACAAAACTATTCATACATTAAACTCAAATTTATTTAATATTTTTTAAAAATATAATATGGCTCATCTACTCATTTTCTAATATTCGTATCTTCTGTAGAGATGGTTCAAATTTTTAAAATAAAAATTCAAATCATGTTATGATAGTAACAAAATTTTGGAACAAAATGTTTTAGTTCAAAAATTAATATACACATTATTATTTGTTAAAAAAAATAGTGCTCTATGAGTAGCCAGTGTATATTTCAAAAAAATATATATATATTTTAGACTATTAAAATTAAAAAGAAAATAAAATTAATCCTAATCTATAGTTTTAATTTAATACAATGTTAATATATATATTGAGAATTGTGATAGAAAGTTATGTATATCAATTCTTCCTTTTTACGTACTTCTCAAATTTTATGCCCATTAGTTGTCGCTTTCAAATCTTTGTGTAATTCTTTCTATTTACACAATACAAAGTGATGCACATACTGAATCCTTTACTCATCTTCCGCTATGATGTGAAGTATGAATTCCTGATGATTGATTGATCTGCTTCAGAGATGCGAAGATTGTTGTGCCATGTAGATGAGGAAAACCTTTTATCCTCCATATCTTTTGCTGTATAAGTTTGCTTCATTTTAGGGACCTGCGTCCCCTGAGAGATGAAATTGACATCAATTCAATCAAGTGCCAACAATCTTGACATTTCTCTTGCTTCCATAACTAACACTTCTTGCAAAAGACATAATAGACATAACACTACCTGCCGACATGATATACATAAATGCTTCAACATTTAACTTTTAAGAGACTGCTTCTTAAATAAAACAACAACTTATATCATTTAAACACTCAATTCATTACATGTAAAGTCAAATAAATAAGTCAAAGTACATAAAAAAAAAATCTACCAACAATAAAACAAAACTATTGTCTTCTCATGCTTTACTTTTGGAGCAATTCATATTTATCGATTCTCAATTTTCATCAGGAAACCTGAAATAAAAAAAAAACATATTTTTAGTATATCATCAATCATTTACTATTATTATATTTCTACCATCTTTACTAATGTTTATTTATAAAATATTTAAATATAAAAAAACTTTAAGGTAAATGTAATACATGTTACAACTGTATAATTGCATTGCAATTGTCTCCCTAACTTTAGCCATATCCTTTGCACCTTCGCCATCAAGCAACTCTACAGAACAATTCGTACTTCCTAAGGGTTCAACTTCTTCAACTCGGAACTCACGTGCCTCCGGATGAACAAAATTTTCATCAGCATCACATTCATCGAATTCTGGATCACTCCCTGAGTGATGTCTTCTTATGTAGTTATGTAGTGCCATTGTAGCCCCTACAATAAGCCGTTGTTTTTTGAAAGAATAGTTAGGCATATCATGTAGAATTCTCCATTTCTTTTTTACATACACCAAAAGCCCGTTCTATTACACTTCTTAACGAGGAATGCCTCATATTAAACACCTCGCGATAGCCTGTAGTAGTTCGACTTCCTCGTCGGAAATCAGGTATATGATATCGCGTATCTGGATATGGCTTAAGAAAACCTCGTTGCAGTGGATATCCAGCATCAACTAAATAAAATTTACCTATTAACAGATATGTTAGTTTTTTCATAAACTTAAATATTATATATGTGTAATAAAAAATTATCACTTATTAATAAAAATTTACCATATGGCAGTGTAGGAAAATTGTATGTCGGACTCCTTAGAACATGTTTGAAGATACGGGCATCATGTGCTGAACCTTCCCATCCAGCTGCCACAAATGTAAAGCACATATTAAAATCGCAGACTGCCATCACATTTTGTGTAGGTGAATAATGTCGCCCTATATATGGAATTTGATTTTCAAATATTTGTAACATGGTGTACATGCCATTAAATCTTATTCCAGTTTCACCTCAATTGTTTTTTCAACGGGTTTCATCCTATTCCAGTTTCACCTCGCATTAAATCTTTCCAAAGCTTCCACTCCTTCTTGAGTTGATCTCATTTGTTTTTTAATAGGGCACGATCATAGGCTCGACTTGTGCGCTCATTAAAATTTTTGGTTAAGTTTCGCCACCCTTCCTTGCTAAAGTGAGTAGTTGTTATGTTTCCCAGTTCTATCTCTTTAATGCAGATGTCATAGTAGATTAATGTGGTTTCCATCTCCCATGTTGCTGGAGCACCTCCTTCTTTTTGCTTTCCCTTTTTTTTTGTTAGGCAACCTATATATTAGTAAGTTAGTAAAGTGTGTTATAATAAACTTAACAAATATTTGTAACATGGTGTACATGCCATTATTTATTATTATTATCGGTTGTTAATGATACATGAATATAAGAATGATGTTTGGACACCCCAGCTAACAATTCACCCATTTTCAGGGCATTTGAAATATTCATTAATGACAGTGGTTCTTCTTTCAGATAAGTATATCAAATTATAAAATAATAAACTATATTTACAACTTATGGAGCATTATAAGGTCTTACTTTCAACCCTGTATAATTTGAAATGGCACAATTTCATTTTAAATGGGCTAAAGCAAGTAATAAGTCGAATTATATTAGTGTTTCTCAACTTAAAAATGCAATCACCTACAAGTAAATGTACTTAAAGTCAGTAAAAGAGATTTTTAAGAAAGGCAAACCACTACAACAAGGGAAGAATTACCAAACCACCTAGAAGCTAATGAAGCAATAGCCCTTGCAAATGTAAACCCTTAACCTAAAACTTAAAAAAAAAATTATACTGCCAAAGCAAGCATAGAATCAAGAGTTTTTGAAATCCTTGAACCATTAACAACCTAACCACTAAGGAAAGGGATGGAAATAAATGGAAAAAGGCACATGCATAGCACATCACTTACAAAAAAAGAGAAACTCAATACAACCTATAATATTTTGTGCTTTGAAGATTGTGTAAAGAATGATGGTGATGATCAAATTATAAATGGTGAAATGATGAATGATGGACCGAGCATCAGTTTTAATTGATAAAATGACTTTAATAGTTGTGAAATTTAAAAAACTTTGCAATAAAGAAAAAATATATCTTATAGAAGAATTACAGATGACTATGCAGTAAAAGTTTTTTTAACAAGTATGAATAAAAAAAGCAAATAATTAAGAAAAAAACAATATTAAACCACTTACTTGCAATTTTGCAGAGGAAGATCAGTTCTGGAATAAGCTGCGAATCTACCAGAATGAGCTAGGCTTAAGTCCCCTTGATTGAGGTGTGGGTACAATGAAGAAAAACTTATGGAGATGTGAGACCTGCAAGAAAAAAAAAGAAATTATGTATTAGTGAGTGTTGAAGCAAGTGGAAAAGAAGGTTGAAATCATTTATTGAAAGAATTTGACGGCGTAAAGAAACAGAAGAGAGATAGGATTTAGGGCAATATGATTGGCAATCAGAGAGGAAATCTGCCGGTTGAAAAATGAAAGAGCAAGATCGGTGCTTGTGGAGCGATGTCAGGTTGTATTTGCTGTAGGAGAGGGCATACCTTTTGGAAGATGAATGCTACTAGAAACGGATAGATGCGAATTGGTTTGGAGGTGTATTTGCAGGACAAGGGTTTAGGGTTTAGGGGGATTTAGGGTTTAGGGTTTAGGATTTAGTGTTTTTTTTAGGGTTTAGGGTTTAGGGTTTTTCAAGGATTAGGGTTTAGGGTTTAGGGTTTTAGGGTTTAGGGTTTAGGGTTTAAGGTTTTTTTAGGGTTTAGGGTTTAGGGTTTAGGGTTTAGGGTTTAGGGTTTAGGGGTTTTTTTTTTGATTGAAGCTTTAGTAATAGAAAAAGATTGCAAGGACAGTTCACCAATTCTAGATTAACACTCCAGGACTATCAGTTCATCCTGAGGAATTTTGATTTGCAGGTTATAAATGTGACTATACTATATATAAAGGAGCACTACTTAGTCCCTAGCAAAAGAAAAAAAGTTGACTGCCAACCTTCTCCAACATCTAATCAAACTGTATCTCCTGGGGCATGTCAAAAAGGGTACGCATTAAATGACTGGCTACATCCATCAGCTGCAGGTACTCATCAGCCCCATCAACTAGAAACTTATCTGCTTTAGCCAGCCTTTTGCATATTCGTGCCTTCTGTACATTAGATATGTCATCTGAGCTAAAAATCAGTTCAAACAACCGAGATAACATTTGTGATACTGGACATCCCTCTGAAATCACATTACTAACTTCCTTGTTTGCTGTGTCGAACTCCCCAATCTTACAAGCTGCAAATAGGGCCTGAACAGTACCCTGAGGTATCAGCCCAGAAATGCTGATTAATTCCTTGGATGAAATTGAAAACCCATACAAGCGAGCAGCACTCTGCAAATATGTTATGGCACGATGAAGATCTCCTTCACAAATGGAGCTTAAAGTTGTAAGAGCCTCATAATCTAGACTGAGGCCTTCCTCATTACATATGTGCATGATACGACTACTCATGACATCTTCGGTTAAAGGTTTGAATCTGAATTTTGCACATCTTGAAGCTAGTGGTTCGATTATCCTGCTAATGTAATTACAAATGAAGAAAAACCTTGTGACTTTTGAATAAGTCTCCATAGTACGTCTCAAAGCATTCTGAGCATCTTCAGTCATTGAATCTGCTTCATCTAAGATAATGATTTTATAAGGTGGACAAACATAGCCACCTTGGCGATTACCAGAACCAATGGCAACAGCAGCAAAATCCTTTATTTTTTGTCCGCACAACATTGATCCCATGATCATCACTTGCATTCAGTTCAAGAACTCGTGATTTGTACAGTTCAGGTCCAAATAGCTGGTGTGCAATGGCTAGAGCCGTTGTGGTTTTACCCGTCCCAGGAGGTCCATAGAAGAGCATATGAGGACAGTTGGCGGTCTCGAGGGTGTTGGCAAGAATGCGAATAACCTCTTCCTGGTGGGTTACGTCCTTCACTTGCTTCGGCCGGTATTTTTCACCATGGTTGAGAACTGGGAAAAAACAAAAAAAAAATCAGATTTTGGCCATGGCAACGCCGGAGCTCGCTCGTGCTGTAACCTCGAGTTCAAAGTAACTCTGGCAGCAATCCTTCTCGCCGCCGGTTTAGGTTTATTATTAGTTTATTTTAGTTTAGGTCTAATTATTAGTTTAGTTTAGTTTTAGTTTAGTTTAGTATTATTATTTAGTTTATTAGTTTAGTTATTTATTTTAGGTTTATTAGTTTATTTATTATTATTAGTAAGTTTGTTTAGTTTAGTTTATTAATTTAGTTTATTTAGTTTAGTTTAGTTTATTTTATTTATTAGTTTATTTTATTAGTTATTTTATTAGTTATTAGTTTAGTTTAGTTATTAGTTTTGTTTATTTTATTTAGTTTAGTTTAGTTTATTAGGTTTTAGTAGTTAGTTAGTTTTTTTATTAGTTTAGTTTATTTAGTTATTTATTATTATTATTAGTTATTAGTTATTATTAGTTTAGTTTAGTTATTTATTATTATTTTATTATTATTAGTTTAGTTTAGTTTAGTTAGTTTATTTAGTTATTAGTTATTAGTTTATTATTATTATTATTTTAGTTAGGGTTTAGGGTATAGGGTTTTAGGGTTTAGGGTTTAGGGTTTAGGGTTTAGTGTTTAGTCAGATAAAATAGAATTCTTCCATTACTCATTTTATTCATAAAAAATTGCCTTTTAAATATTTAGGTGCTCCGATTTTTAGAGGCTTAAAGAAATCTCATCTCTTGATGAAATTATTCAAAAGATGATTGATAGAATTTCTTCTTGGGAATTTCAATTTTTATCTTATGGTGGTAGATTAACTGTTCTTAAGAGCGTTCTTAATTCTATGCTTGATTTTAGAATTATTAATCATAGGCTCAAGAATAACAATAAATTCAATAAAATGAACCCGACAAAGATTTCTAACTCTATTCTTTATAGAGGGAGAACCAATCCCTCTCACATTCCAGATTTAAAAATTGATCATTATTTATGAAAAGAATGAGATTTAGCCATAGACTTAGATTTTTTATAATTCTTTGCAGAATTCTTTTTACCACGAGTATTGTAGACAGTCTGAAAAATTTTGTTCTTTCCCACCAACAATTCTGTTTCACTAACAGAACCAGAATCCAGAAGATCATATTTTGTTAGAAATAGCCAAATGCGACTTCTTAAATGGTCCATTGATTTTGATATTCATGTGGAATCCCCAATATGTCCTGTTTGGTTATCTTTACCGAATTTGAGAATGCCATTTTTTTTGATATAAAAATTCTGCAGCTATTGGTTCTTTGTTTGGAAGGCCATTACAAGTTGAATTTCAGGCCCAGACAAAACAGACTAGGCCTCGGTTGCTAGGAAATATCTAGTTGAAAATCGATATTATAAAGGAGTATTTTAGGGTTCAGGGTTCAGGTTCAGGTTTCAGGGTTAGGCAATTAGGGTTTAGGGTTTACGGGTTTAGGGGTTTAGGTTAGGGTTAGGGTTTAGGCGTTTTAGGGGGGGGGGCGGGGCGGGGGGGCGTTTAGGGTTTCAGGGTTTAGGGTTTAGGGTTTAGGATTAGGGTTTAGGGGATTTAGGGTTTAGGTTTAGGTTTTAGGGGTATAGGGTTTTAGGGTATAGGGTTTAGGGTATAGGGTATAGGTGTATAGGGTTTAGGGTTTTTTAGGGTTTAGGGTTTAGGGTTTAGGGTTTTTTGGTAGGCGTTTTAGGGTATTAAGCCTTTTTAGGTTTAGTGTTTTTTTATTTTTAGTTATTCTTTTATTTATTATTTAGTTTTATTTTTATTTAATATTTATTATTATGTTTAGGTTAGGTTAGGTTTAGTTATTTAGGTTTAGGTTATTATATTATAATGAGTTTATTGGATTTAGTTGTAGTTAGTTGTTTTTATTGGTATTTTATTATTAGTTATTTTTTTTAGTTATTTATTTTATTATTTTTTTTAGTTATTTATTAGTTGGTTTTATTTATTAGTTATTTAGGGTTTAGGTTTTTAGGTTTAGGTTTTAGTTAGGGGTTTAGTTTATTGTTTAGTTAGGGGGGGTTTAGTTTGGGGTTTTAGTTAGGGGTTTAGGTTTTAGGTTTAGGGTTAGGTTTTAGGCGGGGTTAGTTAGGGGGTTTTAGTTTAGGGGGTTTAGTTATGGGTTTAGTTAGGGGGGTTAGTTTAGGGTTTTAGGGTTTAGGGTTTAGGTTTTAGGTTTAGGTTTTGGGGTTTAGGGTTTAGGTTTAGGGTTTAGGCGTTTAGGGTTTAGGGTTTAGGATTAGGGTTTAGGGTTTAAGGCGTTTGGGTTACGGTTTAGGGTTTAGGGTTTAGGGTTTAGGGTTTAGGGTTTAGGGTTTTTGTTTAGGTTTAGGTTTGGTTTAGGGTTTAGGGTTTTAGGGTTTAGGTTATAGGGTGGTTTAGGGTTAGGGTTTTAGGGTTTAGGGTATGGGTATAGGTATAGGGTATAGGGTTTAGGGTTTAAGGGTTTAAGGTTTAGGGTTTTAGGGTTTGGGTTTAGGGGTTTAAGGGTTTAGGGTTAGGGTTTAGGGTTTTTAGGGTTTAGGGTTTTTTTTTTTAGGTTTAGGGTAGGGTTTAGGTTTTAGGGTTAGGGTTTGAGGGTTAGTTTAGGGTTTTAGGGTTAGGGTTTAGGGTTTAGGGTTTTTTTTTTTTTTTTTTTAGGTGTAGGGTTTAGCGTTAGGGTTTTAGGGTTTAGGGTTGTTAGGTTTAGGCGGTGGTTAGGGTTTAGGGTTTAGGGTTAATTTAAAGGGTTTTAGGCGTTTTAGGAGTTTAGGGTTTAGAGTTTAGGGTTAGGGTTTAGGTTTAGGCGTTATTAGGTTTAGGTTTAGGTATCTCTCTC